AAGACAATCGAACGATGATACCCCTGGAAAGACGGCGACGGCCCCTGGCGCTGGGGCCGCGCGGGCAAGAGGTACTCCAAGCGCGGCTGCGGCGACACCTGCGTGGCAAAGTGCAGGACGAACAAGATTACCACGTTTTGGAGGCTGTTTCTCCATCCGTGGCCGCTGCTGCCGATAGTTTTGTCGCAGAGTCACAACAGAGCGGTGTGTCCCCCCCCCCCCCCCTCACCCCTCAATCTGCTGTTGCGGAAGGCTGATGATGATGATGATGATGATTGTGTTGGGCGGAGTTAGCGTCTCAAGTCTGATTGTAACTATGTTTGCAAGGTGGGTGTTTTTTTTTTCTTTTTTCCTTGTCTTTTCCACCACTTGAGACCCCACCCCTGACAAACTCCAGGCCTTCTGCGACTACTCAGCCGACATGTCCGAAGGAGAACTGGCCTCCCACTTCGGTACCACCCTCTCCGTCCAGACATCCAAGCACCACTCCGACTTCCACGACGACAACGACAGCAGTTGGACTACCTCCCCCTCCACCCTCCACCCCAACACCCTGCCCTACACCAACCGCACCGTCCGCTTCAGGGACGGGAAGCTTGTTTGATGCGGACGGGTGGGAGGTGACTTCTTCTTGAGTACCCACCTCAAGAGGTGCAGAAGTGGTATTTTGGTGATGTTATGCTCTTGTCGATTACTAGACCGGCGCGGGGTAAGGGAGTTTTGTTTCATGGTTCAAGTCGGCGTTCAAGGATGGGGAAAGAAAAAAGAAAACCGGCCAGCGTTGGTGTTGCGGCGTTGGAGCAGTTTGGGGCCCGGGCAAAGCGAATGGATGGGAGGTGTTGTGTTTTATACCTAACCTGCTCCGGTGAATGTCCGGCCAATCCCTCCTTGTAGTTTCAGCTTCTTCTTCAATCGTCATCAAAACACATCAACTTTTGCTGCCAAAACCTACCGTACTTGTTGCCTGATAATTGGCCTGTGATCTTTTTGTGACCGGAAGCCACGTTAAACCTCCATTTCACATTCACACATTTATGTCGTAGGCTGATACAGCACGTCAATTAACCAGACTAGCAAGTCTAACTCATCCCCCCGCCATCCGGCATCCTCCCAGTCTAGTGTTAACATCAAAACAAGTACACAGCTAGCTATAAATTACACCCGCTGACATGGCTGCCAGGAGATGCAAAACCAAAATGAATCAGCGCAACAAGACTACAACTACTTCCACAAGAGCAATCTCCGCTGCTCCCTTCCCTCCCCGATGATAATATCTGCTCCGCTGAGCATTACCGCTTCAGTTTTGCCCTTCCCTTCTCTGTCTGCTTTCTCCTCCCCAATGCCCATCGCGCCGTCCATGCAGTGAACTTTATTCTGGGGACGCAACACAACCGAAATACCGATAAATTTGATACCGCCCACACGAAAAACAATGCAAGCCATCCCGTCAGTGCAACACCAAAACCCAAAAACTCAAAACAATACAGAACCGGACTCCGCCCCCTTTTTTGCCTTTTACGATAAATGGAATGCCCCTTGGCCCTCCTTGATGGCAGTAAACAGTCTCTTCTTCAAGACATCGATAGTTGTGTAGTCGGGGAGCTTCAGGTAGTTGACGCAAGTCATGACGCTAGGCAAGTAGTCATCCGATGTATATGGTGCTTCGCTTGGCTTGCACACCACCGTGAACATGGGGGTCAGGCTCTTGAAACCTACAGCCACGTTGTTAGCATCACCTCTCTCAAGTTCACTAGCGCCAAAAAAAAAAAAAAAAAAAAAAAAAACCCTACCGCCAATGGGGAGCTTGGGACTGCCAGTGGTAAACTGCAGAAAGTCACGACGCTGCGCCGGCGTCAACTGAGACATCGTCTGCAGCAAGTTCCTAACGCTCTTGCTGTCCATGTTGTACCCGTGATCGGCCTTGATCGAATCCATAAGTGCTAGAAAACTGTCAGCCATTTGTCTTTTACATCCCGCACCGAGCGACAAACTTACTCTCAAGGGACCAATCTTCCTCCACACGACCAAACAGGGAGCACAGCTCGTCCGGAGTAAAAGCGCTCAGGGCCGAGTACGGGAAGACCTGTGAGAAGCCAGTCCGGAAGGCATCGACCTGGCGGCGAACACCGCTTCCCAAAGTCATGTCAATAACCCTCTCGAGGTAGAGGTCCACGTTGGATATCGTCAGCCTAGTCTGAGACCCGTTGGGAATTAGATCAATGTCTGGGTACCCAGGCAGGGTAAAGTCGAGGTAGAGGTCGTCGAGCCTGATCTTGTCAAACGCGATATTCTCCAAATCGTGAACCTTTTGCGCAGCGTCGCGGTTGGGATCCTCCTCGATGGCCTTCTTGGCCATGGCAAACTTCTTAATCACCATCAACGACCGCGCAACCATAGGGTCGACAGACTTGATAGCCCCCAGAGAGGGGCGGACGGCATTGTGCTCATTGCCGATGCGGAAAAAGATGGGGTTGAAGTTGATATCAATGATGCGAGAGTCGATCATGGACCGTGCCACAAACTTGCCAAGGATCTTGAAGAGCTGAAGGGTCTTCTCGCCTTCCTCAGTTGCAAGGAAATCCTCGCTCACGGGTCGAGGGAAAAGTCCATTAGGCCCAGAGACAAACTCTCCATTGTCGCTGGGATCATGGTCGCGCCACAGCTTGAGCTTCTTCTTGCAGAACTCTTTCGATACCGTCGAGTAGAACTCCAGCGTGGGTCCAAGGCCAGTGCCGACCTCTTCAAAGTACTCAACCTCCAGAATGCTTTGTGACGCCCCGTAGAGCTCCATCACCTTCATGGCCGACTCGAGAATCTTGGGCCGAGCGATGCGTACCTTTTGACGTTGCAGTCTTCCCAGGAACGGCCTTTCATCACGGCGATCTCTCCGGGCTTCCTCCTGAGACTGGGCGTTCTGCCATCGACTCATAGACCTGGCATAGCCAAACGAAGTACTCTGCAGGAAGAGATGCCGGGTCTCGAAGGGGAAAAGGAAGGGATAGAGCCTCGCCAGGTCCTCGCTCCAGCTTGGAAGGCAGTTGCTCGCAACAATGAGGGGTTCTTCCAATTGCCGGTTGAGCTTGGCTGTAAGCTTGGTGTTGACAAACTGGGAGAGCGGCTCGACATTGACCTTGAGTGTCTCCTTGTTCTCGACCAGAACGTCATCAATGTTGGCGTTGAGGTCATGGAGCTTCTTCAGCAGGCGCAGGATCGATGCCGTGGTGGGCGACTTAGCAAGAGATCCGGGAGTGCTACCCTCCTCGACCTCCGCCCCCGTGTCGGCTGATGTTCCAAATGCGATGGTCTCGGCAGGAGGGGGGCCAGGGACGCGCCGGAACTTGATGGGATGCACAGCAGACCAAACATTTCGGCCGAGGTATTCATCAGACGTAGTGGCAGAGCTGTGAACCGCGCGATAAATAGTTGTCTCGTTGGGAATCACCTTGCCGTTGATGCTGAACTCGATGTGCCAGTCTTGGGGCACAGCTTGAATGGCGGCGGCGTATGACATGGGCCTCGAGGATGAGGAAGTGGGTGTGCCCTGGAGAGCGGCGGCGAGCGTGCTGGCTCTGCTGGGAAGCGAAGATGTCTGCCGGCTTTGAGAAGGGGTGGGAACCCTAGTCCCGTCCTCCTTGCGAGCCATGACCTTGCCGCCTGCGGCGACTTCGACATTGACAGCGGAAGGGTCGGGGGTGGGGGAGTCGCCCATGTCTTCTTCTAGATCACCCACAACATCCAAGGCGCTGTCATCTTCCATGTCCTCATCGTCATCAGACAATTGCTTCTCATCTGCGCACTCAAGGGCATTTTCGAGATCGTCCTCATCCTCTGGTGGCGGGAGAGGAGCAGTTTCACTAGCTGGTTGGCGGCGTGCCGACCTACGGAGAGCAGCCTTTTCCCTCGACGATGGCTCCGGTGTGGCTGGAACGTCTCCAGAGGGCTGCGTCTTGGACTTGGATTTTCTGCCTGACCGCGAACCGGAAGGCTGCGAGGAAGCAGCCGGAGGGGCGGGAGGAGTCGACGGAGAGAATGACCGCTCCATCAAGCGGGCGGCGGCAGCGCTCATGGGCAAGCCTGAGCTAGCCATGACCGCGAGAGCACGCGAAACCGCATCCTTACGATGTTGACGAGGACGGTCAGACATGCTGATCCGCGGCCGCAGGTAGTCATCCAGAGACTTGAAGGTCGTGATGGCATGGATCGAAACCATAATGTTGCGAAAGTTCCGAGGGATATCCGAATCCTCATCAGCGACCAGCTTGAGGCGAATTTGCTTCGCGAGCATGGACGCCGCACTGCTGCGGTTGCCATCGTATGAGTTGTGATGAACTGTAAGAACCTCAAAGTGCTCTGATCTGCTCAAAAGGTCCTGAAGCTTGTGAACCAGGACGCTGAGGGGTGTCGCAGGGGAGTCTGCAGTCGCAGTCTTGGGTTTCGACTTCACAGTGTATCCCATAAAGACCTGGAGGAACGTCGACTGTGCCGCAGCTGCAAGATCCTCATCGGGATTGGCAAAAATCTCCTCGAGCACCCGGACTACGCCAGAGGCCAAAAGCTCGGCGCTGGTCACACTCTCCAACACATCCGAGTCAAAATAGGAGGCCAGTCTTGTAAACAGCTCTGTACCGTCACCAACGGGCAAGCTTCCAGGTGTCCGGTGCAAGTAAAAGGCCTCGAGCTCCGTGGCCAGCTCTGAGAGGTTGGCAAGAATCTTAGTCGCCTTCTTCTTCATAGCCTTGCCCTGCTTCTCGGTCTCATGAGTCTCGAGGAATTTCTTGGCCAACTGCGCAATCCTGGTCTTTGAAGAGGGAAAGTCTGAGACCGACAGACGGCGGCCGGGCCCATCGAGGGACATGGTGGAACCCTCAGAACTAACTGGGGATCCCGAATCGTCATGATGGTGGTCATGGTCATGATCGTGCTCGTCACCATCGTCTTCGTCGTCTTCCTCCTGATCCTCATCCGAATCTTGGTGCGAACGGTCCTCGTCGTCATCGCGGTCCTCGTCATTTTCGCCATCAGATACGGTTTGGTCCACAACAAGCTCCTCACTACCGGCCTCTGCTCCCGACTCTGGTTCGTTCTGCGGCTCGGTAGGCTCTGCCGTAGGAGATTCGACCTCGGGTTCCGGTTCGGGCGTTGCCAATTTTTCGATCTCGGCAATAACTCCCTCGCGATACAGCTGGTACCGATAGACCGAACCCAAACGGCTTGTCAAGATTCCAGTGGCCTGCAGAGCAAACATGACCAAAGAGGGGTGGTCTTGCTGCGAGAGGATAGATGCCAGGAAGGAGGCGTACGAAACGGGCTTCAAGGCTTCCACCAGAATATCTTCGTCCAGGTTGCAAAGCATCTTCAGCTGGGCAGTCAACACCTTTTGGCGCACCGTCAGGTTCACCGTGCTCGAGTACGCATCCGTGAGGGTGGGGAAAAGAATCATGGCGAAGCGCCGGACCTCGTCTTTGCACCCTTCCAACAGCTCGATCCGTTTCTCGTTCGGTGTTTTCTTGTCAGAACCAGGTGAAGAGGGCGTGATAGGATCCATGGGCGAGTGCATGTCGACGTAATCGTGACCGGACGGATCGCTGGAGGGAGGCAAGCTTGGCAAAAGCTCACAGATGACATTGAGCGTCTCGATGATCTGTTCTCGGGGTCGGTGAATCAAAGCCTGCATGATCAAAACACTGTCGAGCTTGGAGGCGATATCCTCGGTCCCGGCCGGGGGCGAAACGCCAGTCAGGATTTGGTAGAGCGTCTCAACCACATTCATCTTGAAGAGCTCAGCCGACAGCCTTGGGCTCACCTTTGCCGTGATGGCAAGAACACGGAGGAATTGCGTGTGGATGTGAGATCCGATCAGGTTGGTGGTGCCAGGGAGCAGCAGACGAAGGATGGCCTTGAGCAGCTCGGGGCTCACCAATTCCTCCAGCTTTGCGGCATACCTCCTGAAGCTTTCCACAATTCGCGTCACGCAGAGGGAGGCTTGCTCAACAACCCGCTGATCGTTGCTACCCAATACATTGAGCAGGATAGGCATGACATCCCGCACAACGGGAAAGTTCTCTTCGTGAATGCCACGGCAGCAGTTCGCGGCTGTTGTCACCGCAACCCGTTGGGTGCCTGTGGCGAAGAAGTCAAGGTACGAGAGACACGCATTCAATCCTCCCTCCTTGACGATGTGGTGGGGATACTCGACCGAGATCTTTTCCAGAGTGCTCAAGGCCTGCTCCGCGAGGTCGATAAACTGGATTTCCAGCAATTTCTGGCATAGGATGGGAATAGCTTGCCCATACACCACATTACCGGCACTGCCCGGAAGGGCTTCCATCAAGTTGGCCAGGCAGCGACAAGCCAACAGCATGACTTCGGGATTTTCCTCTCCTGTCAACTCGTTAGGCTGCATCAACGTCACCAACTCTTTCACAAACTGGTCGGGTGAAAAATGGCCCGATAGGTTATCCTCGTTGGACACCAGGAGGAGCTCCGAGAGCTCTTGAAGCGCAATGAGCTGGATCGTTGGATCGTCTTTTTGGCGAAGATTGTTCAAAATCTCTCTCAGTCTGGACGATATGCCAGAAACCATACCAGTCAACGCCCTGAGTGTATGGTGAATGCTGCTCGGAATTCCACCACCTGGGAAGCCACCAAAGGGGTCCATATCGTCATCGTCGTCGTCTTCGTCGTATCGGTTGAGCCGGTCATCCTCGTCATTATCCTCGTTGTCGTCGCTATCTCCGGGGAACTTGTCTTCGGGCGGCGGGGGAGGCGGGGGTGGGGGTGGAGCGGCTGCACCTCGATCAGATTCTTCGGTACCACCCATAACGACGTCTTGATCTGGCGACTCGGCAGCACTGCGCTTGGACCGGCGAGAAGGCCCGGCGGATGGAGGGGCAGCATCATCTTTAGAGACAGAACGTATATTAGTACACGGCCTTCCGAAAAGAACAGGGGCTTTGTCTGGACTTACCTTGAATCTTCTTTTTATGACGGCTGGATCGTCTGCTGGACGAGGCCGAGGGGGTAGTATTCTCTGGATGCTCTGGACGGTTAGCAGAACCTGCTGGCGCCCTGGATCGAATTGTCAGCGAAACCCCTGATTCTACCTCGCCCGTGTCCGTGTTGGCTGGCTCGACATACCGTGGGCTCGACATGGTGGCAGAGTTCTTTGCTTTTTTCCGGCGGGAGCTGGCAGGTGTCGGAGCAGGGATTGGAAGCTCTGGAGGTGCTTGGGTAGCAGCCTGTGCCACGCGTTGTCTCTTGGAACGGCGTGCCGATGAGGCTGGCTCCGGGGCAGCCTGGGACGGACTGGTTTCGGAAGTAGTCTTTCGTTTTCTGGCGGCTCGGGCTGTGACGGGGGTAGAGACGACAGGTGAAGGCGCTCCGGCGGAGGGCGACGAAGCGTTCGGATTTGATGAAGCCGCCTGGGTCGCGGCTTGACGGGCACTCGAGCGGGTGACTCTGAACGACATGAGTAAATATGTGCCAAGATCTAACAACCCTGGGAGAGGTTGCTGACAGGTCGATGTTGGAATGGTGAAGAGGTGAGGTGGAGGGGCAAAAAAAGAAGAGAGGGTTTAGTAGAAAGCAGAAAAGTTTTTGATTGAGAGTCAGTTCCCGAGGATGTGAATGCCAGTAAGCACTTTGGAGCTTGCTGCAGGGCTGATAGAACCGGTGCCTGTGTATTGCGGGCCTTTGCCGCTCTGACCAGAGGCTGCTCAATCTCCGACGACAAGAAGCGACCGGCGGCAGCAGTGTTGTCTGAATTCACTGCCTCTGTCGACAAAGGAGGCGTCGGGGATGCAGTGAAGCCTGGTGTTTGATGGTTGCAGCACTGGCTCAGCTGGCTAGCTTGACTTGACTTGACTGACTGACTGACTGACTGACTGACTGACGACTGACTGCGCGGTTTCGGCCCTTGGGATTCGTGGAACCGGAGACTGATTCTGAGAGGCAGATAGGCAGGTGGTGGAAGCTCAACAGGCGAATACCTTAATCCGGCAGACACTGACTGGGAAAGAGAGAGACAGAGATAGATAGAAAGACAAGAGACAGAGAAAGCAAGACGTCACAAACAGGCGGGGAAGGTGTGCAGTGTGAGGCGGGGGATGGGTGGTGGAGGTGTTGGTGGTGGTGGTGGTGGATTGCAACGGTTGTAATAAGTAAATTGTTGGATTTACCTGGCTAATGAAGAAGAAGAGGAAGAGGAAGAAGTTGACGACGGATAGGATGAGGGAGCAGCGGCGGATGGCTTGTGGGAGGCAGGAGGAGTTGCAGAGGAGGCAGTCACGGTCGGGGACGAGACAGATGACACCGACGACACCGTGGGCAGGTGTGCTGGATCGTTATCGAGAGCCGATCTGGACCGCGAATTTGCAGAGCGTCGTTCTGCCATGGATTACGCCATGGGGAGGCTGGCAGGCGGCGGTTCGGATGGGAGCGAGTTGGGTTATTGTCATCAGCTTATTATGTGAATATAGTTGGCACTAGCCACAGCAGCAGCAGCAGCAGCAGCAGCAGGCAGCGGATGATGGCGGAAGGTGGAAGGAGTTTCTTCGCTTCTTCTTCCTGGGTGGAGGAGGCGGAGATGGTGGCCGGTGGAGATGATGCTTTACGGAGGTGAGAGGGCGATTGTGTGTGCTGGACCCCGTCCTTAGCGGCTCTTTAGCCCATCTAGATCCTTGTCAGCGCGTTCTTGGCCCGTCACGACCCAGAGCACGGACCAACGAACGCCGCACCGGAAGGCTGGGTGCATCTCTGGGAATGGGCATTCACATTGGGCATCTACAGAAGATCTCCAGGCACAGGTTTTCGTATCATGAAGCTAGTATAAAGCATGATTCAAATCCTTGCTCTCACCAACACACGGAGACAGTATATCTTGCCCGCTTGTCACAAGAGCCTGGCGACTATCTCGCGTGTTTTGCAAATAGTTTGGTGCCACATGAGAAAAGGTTCCAACACAGACACACGCTCGTGTTGCAATGTTTGTCATCCTCGGGCTTGAAGACAGAAAACTACGGGCTAGTTTTCTGAGCCAAGATGTCCAACGGGTGGGGATATTGCTCCCAGATGAGTGTTTGATCAATGTTGGGTCGGACGAGGGCTATCTTTGGCACCGCGACCGTAACTGTGTCTCGAACCATGATACCATTCATGACGAAGAAAGACACATTATCCTTGATCATGAGATACGGATACTTGAGAAAAGTCTGCGGTGAAAAGAATGCATCCGTCCAGTATGACAAAGACACGGTCAGACGATTAGAGGTTCGCTGCCTCTGATGTCACTGTTGTTCCAGCGGCGAGTTTAATTGATCCCCGCGCCACAGGGGTGTCGCGGGTATGCCGACGCCCCACTAAACGCGTCTTGGGGCACGCTCTGCCCAAGCTAACGCGCGGCCAACATCCAGACCTCCAGCTACATTGGGTATCAGTCAGTCACTTGCCTATGAACCCACCATTGCCAGCTCGATTCCGTTGAAGATGAATACGGATACAAGCGACTGAATCAACCGTACTTTGAAACTATATCTGACTGAGATTTCGCCAAATGCCAGCTCAAACTCGCGCGCGGGCAACACCCGCTGCGCCGGCATCAGGAGTCTATGAATCAACACCCACTGCTCGTCAAGTCCAGTTTCCTCCTCGAAGGCGAAATGTCCGAACATATGGTCGCACCTCGACTCCCACGGGAATGTCCCGCCTTTTGCGCCAGCAAACATTGACCCAGCTCGATTATGTACAGCAAACCCCATCACCGGCGGACCTACGAGTGGAAGATGAGGAGGATGAATTACCCAGAACAGTGCCCAGGGCAGCGCCAAAGCCGAAGAAACAAAAGCAGACTCGTGGCAAGAGAAGAAAGACACTGGGCGACGCACCGAGTTCGACCTTGCATACCCAAACCATGACCCAGATGTACTCCATGACGACAAAGGAGGAGCAGGATAACGAGCTGCGTATCGAGAACTCCCAAGACGAAGGTGATGAGGATGAGCTGGGGCTACCACAGCTGCCATCAGCTAGCATAATGAAAAAGGAACGATCTCCGGAGAAGAAAGCAACAAGGACGGCTTTGTCCGACCCGCAGACCCCCTCAACCAAGCGCATCAAAGTCAATCTCGATGAAGTTCCCTCGTCCCAGCCAACACCATTCACTCCCATGCTCGCAAAGTACACACTGGGCTCTGTACTCTCTCCGCTTCAGGATAAGTCCACCAATGTTGATGCTCCAGCTCCTACCGTGGAGTCGGTGACCAAACGCCCTCGAGATCTGGTTATCGAAGACAGCTTCAGCCCAGGCGGAGGGCTCCCCTCCTCATCGTCAATGCTGGAGAGAACTCCTGAACAGGCGAGGTCGTCACAAAAGAGGAAGAGGCAGCCCCTGGCCGAAATATCGCTCCCTAGTATGGAGCTTGGACATGATGACAGTTCCACTACTGAGCCCACCCCAACGAAGAAGAGCTGCCGAGAAATACCAGACTCCGACGACGAGCTGGCGAGCATTAGTTCAACACCGTTTCAGACTCCCCAGAAATATCAAGGGACGGTTGGTGAGGCGGGATCTGGTCTTAAGCTGCGATATTCCGGTGGTGTTCCCAGCAGTGGTCTATCGAACAAGGAGAATCGGACTCCCCGTTCAGGGCAAAAGAACTCGAGAGATTCCGCCACAAGTGATGACGAAGCGCCAGGGACACCGACGCCACCAGATAAGAGGGTCACGAGATTGTCTTCACAAAAGAGACCGACCACACAACGGTCGTCACAGAGGCGTATGTCACAGAGATCAGCATCCAAAACACCAATACCACAAAGCAAGGCTTCGGCGCCGGTTGAGCAAGCGCAGGATGACGACTCGACTGCTAGTGAGGATGGGTTGTCAGAATTGTCTTGCACTCCACCCAAGCCGTCAAGTCCAAAGGCGAAAACACCAACCCCGAGGCATAACAAGGAGCCCAATGTTTTACGGTCTATTCTACGGAAGACTGCTGAGCGAGCTGCCCACACGAGTCCGGCCAAGGGTGAAGGAGGGAACACGACTCCTCAGTTCCTGACATCAGAGTCCTCAACTGACCAAGGACCCACCACTCCAACCCCTATTCGCAAGACGGTTCAGATTCAGCTCCCACCGCCACCTTCAGCCAGCCTAGGGCAGAGCTCGGAGGGGCAGCCACTGCAGGAAGATGATGAGGAAGAAGAGCTGGAAGTCTACAAGGAGACCCCACAGAAGGTCTACCCTCAGACATGCTCTCCCACGCCCAACCGAGCCGCCCAGCGGATGACACAAGCCAGATCCCAGTTCTGGTCACAAGGCTGGGAAAGCCAACGTGTGCCCATGAGCGTAATTCGGTCTCTGGGTCCCCAGACTGACCGCACCGACATCGTCATCTCCATAGATCCTGATACCTTGGAGGACATCACCAAAGGCCGTCGCGATCACGAGTTTAGGGAGTATAAATTCCCTCCCACCGTCCTCCGGGTGTGGATGTTTGCCACTCATCCCGTGGAGGAGGTCAAGTATATGGCTGTGCTTGGACCACCGAAGCAGCCGGGCGAGATTGATGAGGAGAGTGGCTACAACGGAAACGCAGAGTTTAATGCCGGGGAGACCAAGTTCAAGTGGGCGTATGAGTTGGTGCAGGTTTATCGGTTGAACAACCCGGTGCCGTTGGAGGATATGGAAGAGCACGGGATGGGGAAGGGGGCGCCGGTGAGGTGGCATTATTTGCCGCCTACGGCGGTGGGGCAGCTGATGGCTAACTTGAGGAATGCGTTGTTTTTGGAGCCGGGACAGGAGGCGCCGGAGGCGGAGCAGTTTTTGAGGGATGGGTATCAGGCGGTGGAGGAGGTGGAGGTGGAGGAGGAGGAGGAAGAGGGGGACGAAGAAGAGGAGACACAGGGAACAACTGGGGTGGCGGTATCACAACAGTTGGAGCAGCAGCTGAGAAGCGACATCATTCAGTCGACGCAGATGGTCAAGACAAAGAGCGTCAGTGTTCTTGAGGAGGACGATGACTTGGAGTATCTCAACGATGATACTGTCATTCCCGCCAGTCCAGAGCAGACACTCCCGCCGATGCCGGTCACTGATTTCGCCCGGCCAAGTGCACCGCGATCCAGCCAAAGGATCCGGAATCAGCAACGGCCTAGCACACCGTCCACAGTTTGTCGGGTTGAAAAGACGAGAAACACCGTCGGTCTGTCTCAGGCGACAACGGCGAGTAACTACTCTAGCCCTGCTACATCTCCTCAAAAGTCTATGGGGGCATCTGTGCCACGACCTCATATGCCTGGGTCGAGCGAGCTGTCGCTGCCGGACTTGGTTGTCGAGATGGACGATGATGGGGAGACCCAGCTGCCCGTGCCGAGGGGAATCATTGCTTCGTCTTCGCAGGTGTTTGGTACGGCGCAGGCTAGTTTGGATTTGGGGATAGGTGCGGAGAATGTGAGACGACCGCCGAGTGTTATTTATGATTCGGATAAGGAGTAGGATTAGGATCTGTTATTGCTAGGGTCATCTTTTGTGCGGGTTTTCAGTGAAGAAGGATAATAATGGGGAGTAGAAATGGGTGGGTGAGGTATTGGGACACATTGGCTGGTAGCAGTCTGGCTGCACTGGCATGGTAGGGCATTTACCAATTAGACGATGAGGGACACGGGACTTACGGCGTATATTGTAATTAGGGGGTTGGTCGTTATTGAATATGTGCTCTATGGAATTTGACATGTAAAGTTGGGTTTCTCTGTGCTGATATGTTTCCAGTATGGTCTCCTATACTCCGTACATAACCCTGATAGGGTTGAGTGCTGGCGCATTGGTGGCGCACGGACCGTAGCTTGTGACGGTGTTCCAACTGGACGACTCCGCTGGACTGCCGTTCCGCCTCAAGTCTCGACGAAGCTCCTTGCTACACACTCGCGGAGGGAAACTTTTTGTCGTATTGAAACGGCCTGTATCTGCTTATAGAATTGCTTTATTTCCAGCTCCCGCCGGGCACCACATCATCGCGACACCGCTCTCCCCCGAACCATGACCTGGCGATCTAGCCATCAAACGCTGTCGCCGCCCGTTCGTTGATGAACTGCCCCCCTGGTCCGACGCTTGACGGGAGCGCTACCCCGCCGCCATCGACGACATGCCCATGAACGGTCGCGAGATGACACGGGCCGAGTTGTTTGAGGATGAGAAGAGGAGGATCGTCGAAAGTTGCTTCAGCAGACGCGACGAAGATGGCTCCTGTGAGCTTCCCCTTGTGTTGCCGTCCAGACCGGCAGCTCTTGATAGCTTCGAGTCAGTGCTGGACTTGCCATGTGACCATTGCTGACCCTCCATCTGTCTGCATCAGTGCTCGAAACATACATCACACACATCAAGATCACAGAGTTCCAAACTTCGCCCACAGCACCGCCAGCACCCAATGCGAGAACCCCTAATGCCGAGAAGCCGCGCGTCATCATCGTCGGCGTGCGCAAGTCTGGCCGAGTACGCGTGCACAAATCAAAGGAAAACCCAAACGGAACATTCTCAATAGGCAAAACGTGGTTTCTCGATGACCTCTCGGCGATCGAATCCTTCACCAACTGTACATACAACAACGACTACCAAGCATGGGCGGGAGACGTGGGCTTCGTGGTGACGCTTGGAAAGCCGTACTACTGGCAGGCCCAGACGGACAAGGAAAAGAAATTCTTTATTGCAAGTCTGATCAAGATCTATGCCAAATACACGGGTGGTCGCATGCCGACCTTGACGGGTTTTGATCAGCGCGAACTTGATCAAGTGTTGGGTGGCGCACAGGCACCCCGAAGACAGGAACGACAAGACCGACCACCTCCCCGTCCCAGCCTCCCCGATTCTGCCCCCAGCAGCGCCAATAACTCGATCTCGTCTCTTGGCTATAATGGAAGGGAAATGCTCAATGCCCAGGCCACACCAGCCCCTGCCCCGACATACCCAGAACGGATGCCCTCGCGTGGCGCGCTTGCGCCGAATGGAAGAGCTTCACCAGTGCAAAGCGTCGACTCGGGTCGGCCGAGTCAAGAGCTGCCTACCCTTCGACGGCTAGCATCCAACAATAAGAGCCAGGACTCGGTGGTGGCCTCGTCTGTTGCGCGGAGCGAAGGGGCCAGCAGCTTCAGGCCAGGATCGAGAAATGGGCCGGGCTCTAGCTATGGCACCCCTGAGGCGTCACCCGCACCTCCGTCTCTGGATGAGAGGCCGCCGGAGAGGAGAAGACCTCCCATGGATCCGTTACGGCCGACGCAGGTCGACAGAGATTTGGTGCCGGCTCCTTTGAACAGCCCTGCGGCGCGTATTCCACTTCCACCTCGGAGTCAAGACCGCATGTCCCCCCGCAAGAATTCGGTGAGCAGACGGGACCCGACACCACTTCGGATGGACCAGAGACCTGTAACACCAAAAGAGATCTCGAGAGCAGGCACGCCAGTGAGTGCGCCCAGTCCGGCACCTGTCCCAACACCGCAGACTGCCAGCCCAGCACCTGCTCCTGCTCCTGCTTCTGCTTCTGCTCCTGCTCCTGCTCCTGCTCCTGCTCGTGCCGTGCCGGCTGCTGTCCCCACGCCCCCACCTGTGCCAGCCGAGGAATCGACGCCAGAGGCACCCAAGACCCCCGTGGATGACGAAGAGAAGCCTGGCGTTTTTGGAATCAAGTCCAAGAAATCTAGAGGAGAAATCGCCGGTGCGATCTGGAAGGCTGCCGCGGCCGTCAGTGCGTTCAAGCCCAGACCGGGCGGTGCAGCAGAGCGACTGCGTCAAAACCAGAACAAGAGCAATGACGGGCCAGACGGTATCACGAGCGTTGTGCCGGCGCCTCCCAAGCCCATCCCGGTGAAGACTCCGGAGCCGATTGTTCTCGAACCACCCCCCACGGCGGCCGACAGGGGATCCTCTGCCACTACTGCGTCTGGCATTCCCGAGCTGAAAGTCACGGGCTCAGACCCCAACAGCCGACCGGATAGCATTGTCGCCTTCAAGGAGAAGAAGGAGGAGGTACCAGAGGAACCGCAGCGGTCGGTCGTGGCGGGGAACGATGTCAAGTACCTGGCTACTTTGGGGATTGATCCATCGATTCTGGACGGCAAGACGTCCGAGTTTGCCAAGTGGCTGGATTACTTTGGGTGGGTGCCGGGCGAGCAGATGAGGCAGAGGAACTTTGAGGAGATGAGGGCGGATCTGGACAGGGAGATGGGCAAGGCGCAGGCGGGGGGGTGGCTGGCGAGGTTTCAGGAGGAGGATGAGAGGGTTGATGCGATCAAGAGGGGGATCGATCTTGCGATTGGGGAGTGTGATGAGCTGGATAATTTGTTGACGCTTTACAGCGTTGAGTTGTCGGTGAGTTTTTCTGTGGTTTTGGAGAGGGTTGGTTGGTTGGTTGGTTGCTGACACTTGTGGTAGACACTCTCGGATGATATCGCCTACATCGAGGCGCAAGGCCAAGGTCTGCAGGTGCAGGCTGCCAATCAGAAGCTTTTGAGAAAGGAACTCGAGTCGCTGTTGGAGACCTGCGCCATCAGCGAGGCCGACCTGGAGGCGCTCAAGTCGGCGCCGCTGGAGCATGCCGCCGGGGTGGAGGAGATTGAGACCTCGTTGGTCACGCTGTTCAAGGCCATGATCAAGATTGATCCTACGATGGGCAACAGCGAGGGGAGGAGGAGCGAAGACGGGAGCAGTGCGGACCAGTCGCTTGGCTTGGACGAGAATTACGGCCAGATGCGGATCGTGCAGGAGAAGAAGGAGATGTACCTTGCCGAAAGCTCGCTTTTCATGAGGAGGTTGGTGATTTTCATGGAGAAGCAGTTTAGCGAGGCGTTCAGGGAGACGAAGGCGGCGTTGGATGGGGCGCTGAGCAAGAAAGTTGATCCGAGGAATCACGAGGTGGGACGGGACATCCTCTGGATGTACGGCCCGCTGATTCTGTACGCGAGGGACGTGGATCTGGACAACTGGAACCGGATCCTGCAGGTGTACCAGGACAAGTGCCACCCGATATACAAGACTGAGTTCAAGGAGGCGATGGACGCGTGGAAAAAGAATGCGAGGAAGGTGACGGGGGATGAGGCGGAGCTGCTGTTTACTTCGCAGCAGGAGAAGAAGGAGGAGGGGCTGGCGACGACGGCGAGGAAGTTGACGGTCAAGAGGAGCCAGACGCTGGCGAGGAGCTTGAGGAGCCCGTTGGGGGATGGGGGGAGCAGGTCGTCTGCGGCGGAGAAGACGCCGGATGGGAGGGCGTTGCCGTACGAGGTTTTTGCCGGGGTGCTGGATGATTTGCTGCCGTTGGTGGAGATGGAGCAGAACTTCATCGTGGATTTCTTCCACGCTACTACGCTGGAGCAGGCGGATTTTCCCGATTTGGTGGCGGCGTGTAGGCCGGTGAATAGACGGGGGGGGGACCTCAAGAGGCATCGGTTGATGGAGCCGGATCGGGAGCTGGCGAGGCGGGTGACGAAGGCGATGGAGAGTATTTTTGGGTTTATGGAGATTGGGTTGCAGCAGTTGATGGATTGGGTTTTGGGGATGGATCCCTTGTATGTGATTTCTTCTTTCGGTTTACGGATGGGTGTGTGTGCTAACAATGTCTACAGACAGGGAGTGGGTATCTTGGCCACGCTCGAACGCAAGATGGCCGAAATGTCACAATCCAACCAGGACTTTCTCAACAATTTGCTCCAAAAACTCCACGGCAACCTCGAGGCCAAATTCAAAAAGTTTGTCGACGATCAGATCCGCGCCATTGAAGAGACAAAGGTCAAGATCAAGAAGCGCAAGGGCGTCATCCACTTCATCCGCATCTTCCCCCAGTTTTCCACCGCAGTCGAGAACATGCTTGCGAATGTTGATCCCAACTTGGGGGTCAGGCGGATGGTAGATAGGGAGTACGACCGCATCCTCAAGTCAATGTTTGACTCGCTCAAGGTGATTGCGAGAGAGAACCCGGCCATGGGCGGCGGCGGGGCAGCCGCCACGGCTGCTGCGATTGCCAACTCTGCGGATCCGGAAGACAAGGAGGCGCTCAACTTCCACATCCTGCTTATTGAGAATATGAACCACTACCTGGAGGAGGTGGAGAACTCGAGGGGGTTGGAGGTGCTGGATGACTGGAAGGAGCAGGCTAACCAGGAGCTGCAGGAGCACATGGGGTTGTATCTGAATGCTGTCATGAGACGGCCGCTGGGTAAGCTGCTGGAGTGTTTGGAGAACATCGAGGCTCAGCTCGCGGGGGGCAAGTCGGCGGCCGGGATTGCGGCTCAGCCGTCGAACTCGAAGAGCACGTTTAACAAGGTGCTGGGTGGGTATGATGCGAAGGAGGTGAGGAAGGGGATTGAGGCTTTGAGGAAGAGGGTGGAGAAGCACTTTGGGGATGAGGACTCTTCTTCAGCGGGAGGGGAGGGGAAGAAGGGGAGCAGCGACACGCTGAGTGTTAGTTCGGGCGTTTCGGGGCATCATGGGGTCAAGTTTGGTGGTGGGGGTTCGAGTCAGAGTAATAGTGGATTGGTGATGAAGGTGTTGAGGGAGTGTGAGAAGTTTTATGGGGAGGTGGAGATGAGGGTTGGGAGGGTGACGACGGATGTGTATGGGGGGGATGTGCTGTTTGAGTGGCCCAGGGGGGAGGTCAAGGCTGCTTTTGCGGCGGGGGCAGGGGGGAGTGGCGGAGGGTTGGGGGGGATTCATTTGGGGAGGTCGTGATAGATATTTTGGGGTTAACAGGAATTGCATGGTTGTTTTTGTTTTTCGGTTTGTGATTTTGTGTTTGACAATGTTTTGGGCTTGGTGGTGATGTTTGATGTTGGTGTTGTTCAAAATGGAAGTGTTACTAAGCAAGGTGAGATCGCCCCAGGCCGAGAGAGAGAGAGAACAACTCCGGTCCGTTTGTTCCCGGCCGTGTATCTCTCCAAAACATCTGCCGAACAGCCCAAGAAGTTGGTGGCCATGACTGCGGCGGCGCTAGTGGACCATGTGCCTCAACGGTTTTTCGGCACATGTTTTACTGCCCGCCCTTTTTCTTTTTTGTGTGTGTTCCGCGGGATCTCAGCTTTGGGTTGATCACTCCGCCTTTGACGACACCGGCATCTTTCTCCAACATTTTTCGGAACTAATCGCCTCCTCCTCCCCATGAAACGCAAAAACAAGGTTGGTTGGTGTTTGTGATGGCGGTACCTGGTGGTAGCGGATCTTGCCTTGCCTTGCTTCTGATCAGTTTTTTGCCCATGTATTCATCGGTTCCCCATCCTGAGGCTGGCGGGCTGGCATAGGGAGGAGGTGAGGTGGGTGCATGCATTGCAGGTTGGTGCTGGCGAATGGCGTACTTCCCGATGGCTGCATGTGTATTATCGATATATCGAACCACGAGATGGGAGGGCGGTTCGGCATACCTTACCTACTATGGGCCGTACACAGGACATATCTGTCCATGGAGCACGCACCATCCATCAAGCAGAAGTTTGGGAATCTTGAGAGTAACCCTCCCTTTTTGGGGGAGCAGCTACCATGGATCTTATTCTCTCTCTCTCTCTCTCTCTCTGTGTGTGTGTGTGTGTGCATACAGGACATAATACGACCCTCTTTTTCAGCTCGTCGTCATATCACAAAACAGTAAAGAATAGCGAGTTTGGAGGGTTGTGGCGTTTTCTGGCAGCTGACGAGACAAAAACCCGCCATAGAGGACGCAACCATCGTGAGTATTCGAATGAACATTCCCAGCAGCAACCACCGGTCACTGAAACCATCGACTATCTCTTTCTCTCTTGTCTGGCTGATATCTCAAGATTGACGATTGGACCTTACATCTGCCGATTTATATTGGGGGGAATGTCGGTTTGCCTCCCTTCCCCTCTCTCCATGCGCTCGGCTCCACGGCCCCACCACCCAATGTCAGGTCTCCCGGCAGACGGTTCCCCAAGTTTTTGGCGGCGCTTGACTTACACGCCTCTTCAGCTCATGACGTGGGGTTTTCTTTCACCTTGACCCTTGTGCCACACCTCCTCCGCATCGCCCTATGGTGATTCAGAGCCACCTCCCCCCCCCCCCCCGGTATCTTTTCCCCAGGTCAGATCGAAAAAGTTGGGGTGGTGTGTGTCGTGTCAAGTTCAGCGTGACCACTGTTTCCGATTTGGGAAGGGAAAAGGCGGGTTTGGTTCCGTTCGGCTCCGCGATCCTTCGGAAAAACCCCCTCCCCCTCGTGCTGTCGTCATGGAGCACATCTTTTGAGAGATATCGTAGATGTTACCTATCCATCATCCCGAGTTGACGATTCCCGGGACACTCTTCAGCCATATACACTGCGCTAGTTCGGCACGGTCTGTCCTACATGCAATATCCTCCCGTGTATATCTGCTGGCCGTCGGGGATCGTCCGTTTGCAGGACCGCCATCCAGGGAAACTGTCTGATGGCGGGCAAGGACCAAAATAGATTAATTTCCCGAGGGACAGACACCCAGTTCATCACTGAGAGTGGTCGTTCGTCTTGCTACCCGGGTGAGGGGGTGGACAACCTTACTCCAACTCGGTTTCCAACCCCCCGGCCCCCCTGCCTGTTTCTTCGCCTTGACCTTGGACATTCTCGGCATTGAACGGCATGGGCGGCAGGTGTGTGTTTGGTGGTCAGGTAGGTAGTAGGTATGTGGGCTCAATTAGAGATTTTCCCGCGTGGCTATATACATTTATACATCATCACAACACCTTTTTTCTTCTTGTCTTTTACCTTTTCACTTTGTCATCATTTTTATTTTTTCTTTCGTTTAACTTCAACACCCTCTACTGTGATAGACCCCTCTTCAACAGGGCACACCATTTTCTTTTCGATCATTTCAGGTTAGGACATCACATGCCTACATAACACACAAGGATGATCACAGATCAGATAATACACCTCCTGGTCCAGCACTGGCCTGCGGTTCTTGTCACGGTCGTTCTCGCCTGGCTGGTCAAGAACAGGTATCACAATGGACTGAACAAATACCCGGGGCCGTTCCTGGCGTCGTTGACGGACTGGTGGAGGTTTTATGATGTCTACAGACGGAGACCAGAAAGGACGCAGATTGAACTGCACAAAAAGTACGGGCCGGTGGTGAGGTTGGGGCCGAACACACTCTCGTTTGCGGACCCGGAGGCGTTGAAAACGATTTACGGGTTGAATAAGGGATTTGTCAAGGTTTTTATCTCCTCGTCTTTTTCGTGACGAAGAAGGGGGGGAATATGTGCTGACAATTTGGCTAGTCTGATTTCTATGTCGTTCAACAATCAGTCGTCAAAGGGCACAGCCTCCCGTCCTTGTTCAGCACCACAGACAACGACTTCCACATGCAGTTCCGCCGGTGCGTCAACGGGGCGTTTGCCATGTCCCAGCTGGTGCAGTACGAGCCTTTTGTCGACAACACCACAAAGTTGTTCCTGAAGCAGACGGAGAAGCTGTACATTGACACCCCAAAGGCCTGTGACTTCACGCAGTGGCTGCAGTTTTACGCGTTTGATGTGATTGGGGAGATTACCTACAGCAAGAGGCACGGGTTCATTGAGAGGAACGAGGATGTGGATGGGATTGTGGCGTATCTCACCAAGCTATTCCTCTATGTCGCTCCTGTGTGTCCCCTTTTCTTTTCTGTCCACCAAGACTCGGTTCTGACGTGCTGCAGATCGGCCAAATCCCCCTGTTGGACAAGCTCTTCCTCAAAAACCCCCTCTACCTCAAGCTGGGCGAATGGGGCATCCTCGACACCACCTTTCCCGTCGCCAAGTTCGCCCGCGCAAGGATGGCGGAGCGGCTTCCCGAGCTGGAGTCGGCGTCACCTGAAACGAAACCTCTGCTGCCCACGTCGGAGAAGCCGCCGTTGGGAGTGAAATCCCCTGACCTCCTGTCCAAGTTCTTGGCCGCCAGGGAGAACAGACCTGACTTCATGACCGATACGCTGGTTCAGACAATGGCGGTGAGCATGGCTTTTGCGGGCTCGGAGACGACGGCCATTTCCCTGTCGGCGGTGTTTTACTTTTTGCACAAGACCCCGAGGGCGTTGGCGCGGTTGCTGAGGGAGATTGATGACGCTGCGAGGGAGGGGAGGTTTTCGGATTACGAGACTGGACTGGTGACCTGGCACGAGAGCCAGACGCTGCCTTTCCTTGATGCGTGCGTCAAGGAGGCTTTTAGGCTTCATCCTGCGCCTGGGTTGCCGATGGAGCGGATCGTGCCCGAGCCGGGGCTTGAAATTGCAGGACATTGGGTGAGGGGTGGGACAATTGTTGGGTGTAATGCTTGGGTTTTGCACAGAGATAAGAAAGTCTGGGGGGAGGATGCGGAGGAGTTCAGGCCGGAGAGGTGGGTGGATGAGACGGATGGGGAGAGGTTGAAGGGGATGAATGGGTGCATGCTGCAGTTTGGGATGGGGAGTCGGACGTGTATTGGGAAGAACATCAGCTTGTTGGAGATTTACAAGTTGGTACCGAGTATGTTGAGGAGGTTTGAGGTATGTTTTTCCTAATCAAAAGGAACGGGGAGCGAGTGTGGTGATGCTGACATGAAAAAAAAAAACAGATTCGATTTGATGATCCGAACTCGGAGTGGGAGATTGTGAATGCTTGGTTTGTGAAGCAGAATAATTTTATCACGAGGTTTAAGTTGAGGGAGTTGGTGAAGCCCGAGGGGAAGGCTTGAGTTTGGGGTTGATTGGATGGTTTGGGGGTTGGCTTGGGTTTGGAAGGGGGGTGTATATGGTTATGATCATGAAACAAATACCACTTATTCAAAAATCAGCACATGCATTTCTTTCTTCCTAGGCACTAAAGTTCAAACAAGTGTGTTCATCCAGGTGTTATCCTTGCAAACACTATATCCTCCCCCCGCCCCCGGAATGCCCGTCACCGAGTGGTATGTTGCCATCAATACTGGAACGTATCCCCATACGCTAGCAACTCCTCGTTTCTCCTCTCGGCATCCTTCTCAACGTAGGGACAACCCTCTTTCATGCGGTTCCCAATGTTGCTTACCTCAACTTTGGCAGGGCCAATGGTGTAATTATGGGGACCGGGGACACCGTAGTCGACGATCCGCATTGTCTGTCAGTACCTATATCGACGCCAGATTGATTGAGGGTTGGAAACAAGAGGCCTACCGCATTTTTTTTATCAATCTTCCACTTTTGAAAGTTGTCCGCACGCTTTGAGTGCGACCTCGATTTTCGTGCACATTGTGGATGGAATGTCTTTGGATTGGGTTGTTGGAGTTGATTGGAGTTTTCCGTGGTGAGCGAGGCACGCTGGCTGGGAAAGGCGGAGATAGGGAAGATTCAAAGGGATCCCATACGTGGTTGGCGTAAGTTGCGGCTCTCTGCCAAAGAGGACAAAGTCACCTTGGTTTCTGGGTTGCACATTGACACTTGACTGCCTGGCCATCAAGCTTCATTCTGGCACGATCCATATTGGACGAGTAGATCGAGACCGTGCGATGGTCTTTGAAACACAGGCTGGCTAACTAATGGTAGGCATAGTCCCAAGTCCATTTTCTCTGTTCCAAATTCTCTAGTCGTCACATCATGACTAACCACATGCCGCCTACCTACCTAGGTAACCAAGGACGAGAAGACACCCGTCACCAACCCCCACGCCACCTCTCCCTCCCTCGAACCATACACCCTAAGATTTCACCACCCCCCCAGATCAACTCATATTCATCCCAACCCTCACCCCCTCACCCCCTCACCCCCTCACCCAACGCCTCATGCCCCTCCAAGAGCCCACAAATCCTCCCCTCCCCATCCCACTTCGCCTTCACATCCCGCGGATCACCCCTCCCCTCCCCCCAAAACTTCCCCCCCGCCTTTCTAAACTGAAAGTCGGCATCCCCAAGATAACTCCCAGCAAGAGTCCCCTCCTGCTCCTCCAATCTGGCAAAAACATCCCTCACCCAGCCATCACACACCCCATCATCCTTCTCCTCCTCCCAAACAGCATACACAGAAAAATAATGATCAGATTGCATGCTAAGCATCATGTTCCCCTTCCATACCCTTCTCGAAGTAGGATTCATCGAGAACCACAGCGCGGTGCTCTGCTTTGTCGGAAGGGATGAAAACGCTGGGTCAAGCGCGGCAGCGACTTGTGCCGGGGAGAGGTCGTTGGAGAGGTAGGCGTTGTCTGAGCGGGTGCGGAAGCCGGGGGCGGCGTTGCCGGCTAGTTGGGCTGCGTATTCTTCTGGAAGGGAGGTAGGTTCGCAGAAGCGGCTGGGGTGGTTTGGGCTGGCGGAGGGGGGGCAGGGGAGGGAGGTGTGGATGGGGGTTAAGGCTGAAAGAGCGGCGGTGTGGGAGGGGGCAAAGGAGGTGAAGACTGCCGTGAGGGTTGGGGTGGGGGAGGATTGGGGGACAAAGGACGAGACGAGGACGATTTCGAGGGTTGGGGAGGCGGTTGGGGAGAGCTGTGGCGGGTGTCAGTGTGGGGAAGATCGAGAAGATGGGAAGAGAGGATACCTTGATCAACCACTCCAGCACCTCTTTAAACTTGGTGATATCAAAGAAATAAAGCGACTGCCACATCGGGAGCAGAGACAGAGTTTTCATATAAAACCTCGTCACGACAGCAGGAAACGCTGGCCCCGCACCCCGAGCAGCGTGAAACAAGTCTTTGTTTTTGGTCTCGTTTATGTGCAAGACTTCGAGCCCGGCCGTCACGACATCAACTCCCACCACATATTCACACGCCCAACCCCAGTTCTGTCGTTTGAATCAGCAAAAACAACATTCGAACAAGCCGGGCACCGTGACAAACCTTGCAATTCCACCCCATCCCCCCCTGCAGCAAAAAACCCCCCAACCCAACATCAGGACAATGACCCCCGGGAAACATCCTGCCCCCCTCCGCCAAAAACTCATTCAACCCCCCCGACGTCACAGCCGGACCACAGCTCACCACCCCTTCACCCATCTCGCGTTCCCATCTGATCGACCCAACCCCTCCCTCAAAGTCGATCATGTCCAGCAGGATCGAGTCATACCTAATCGACCAACAGGCCCAGCTGTGGCCCCCACTGCGGATGGCAATTCTCTTGTCTTTTTTCCTAGCAAAATCAACACACGCCACAACGTCAGAGACAGTCAGCGGCTTGCAATAGGCGTATGGGTGACGGGAGTGCTGCCAGCGGATGGTAGAGGAAGATAAATCGGGGCGGCGGTGGTTGAAGATGCGGGAGAAGATCAAAGAGTTGAACTCCGACTCTTGGGTGGCAGAGCGGAGGATGATCGGGGCCGGACTAGAACCGGAGCTGGGGTTGTTGACGGAGGGGGTCATGTTTGTGTCAGGAGCGGGGTCGGTTGCGTCGGGCATGATGTTTATGACAGGCAAGACACCTATTCTTGATTGTGAGGGGAGAGCACAAGGCAAACACAGTCCCGTCAAAGTAGGTGTTTATACTTGAAATCCTCAGCCAAGTCTTCTGAGCGAGGGAGGAGTGAACAGAACGAGTGGGATCGTTGGCATCAGACGTGGACCCCACTTGGTAGGGAGCTGCTCCCGAGTTGCGCACAACACATTGTGTTGCTCTTACAACATGATGCTATTTACGGTGTCATGAGTGGGTGGTTGATTGCGCGTCTTCTTGGACGAAAAGACCTCAGGGGTCGATCTGAGACATTGTGTGATTGAGATACCGACTAGATGGGGTCATATGCAAGGGGAGGAGCAATGGTGTCTCGGGGTGGGTGGGGTTAGGGTTAATAAAGGCGACTGCTGACCCCTGAACCTCTTTGTTGTGACGATCACGGGGGGTCAAGGGATGGATTTGGGATGAGCGGGCTTGTGGTGTAAGTCTGATGGTCTGCCCTGAGGCTGTTGGTTATCCAGGTCCACGCTAAGTGGTTTACGAGTATCTTATAAAAATACACGTGCCCTCTTAAAGCTTTAAAATATGCTAAAGTCAATGGCCTTCTTCAAAGCAGATAAGTCGATATGTATCAAACTCAATAGCACTTTTATACTAAACGCGCTTTTCTCCCAATTTAAACCATCTTTTTACGCTTAAAACCGATAAAGTTATGCTTTTGGCCTTTGAAAGTGTCCGTGTGAGTGTTCGATGACTTACTTGTAAGTGGGGACCGGGGACCGGGGACCTGGATAACGGCCACCGCTCTGAGTGAGTCGGCTGAGAAGGTCACGGGTATGAAAAAAGCAAGGCTTAAACCAAGGTACCTGGGTAGGTAGCCACATACCTTGATCTGGAGAGCAATTATTTTGCTGTTGAACTGATGTTTGATGTTCTAAGCCTTGCTGTCTTTGCAGCTAAACAATCAGGAAGCTATCATCTCAGTCCAACAGCCTGAGATCCGCAGCATTTCCGCCAGTGAGCTACGGTCTCCAGTTGTGTGCGTGCCATCCAGGATCTAAACATGTCCCGACTGTCCCAGATCAACTGAAGCTTCAACGCCCAGACAAAAAAACACTCCCATCACTTGGAGAAACAAGGTTCTAGACAATGCAGAAATTCATCAGAGCGTACACATGTTGAAGCCACAAATGATTAGCCTTTTGATCACCATGGACTTTTGAACATCTGAAGCACGACTTTACAGCTTCTGGATGAATTAGACCTTGAAATCTTCTCTTCTGCAAGTTCATCTGCTCAAAGACAAATCACCTAGGCAAGTCTACTGCGAGCAACAGATCCCAACACAACAACAAGCACCGGTTCTATCGCTAAACCCAGTCAGATTTACAACGTGCTTCAAAATCCCAAACTATCACTTCGAGTGCGGGCACTTTGCCCGCTGGACTTCAATGACCGAGACACATGCAGATCAACAACCTTTCCCCAACAACTAGCAACTCTCCCCTCATCACTGTCACCAATCAAACGCTCGAGGTAAACGACACAGCCCCCCCCGACACGCTGGCACCGCCAAGAGAAGGCTACAGCGAACCATGCAGGGGTCCTATGCAGGATTCTTGCGGCTCAAGCAGTAATACCTCCCATTCCACGGCCCAACTCTTGTCCGAGGTTGATAAACCTTTTACAAGGACGCGGGTCAGCTCTGGTCTTGGCACCAGGGAATAAGCCTCTTTTGGTCCTGTAATCTGGGGACGTGTGCCTGTGGCTGGCCGTTGGGCAGCAGGCGTTGACGCTACTGCAGAGGTTTATTTCCGCTTAAGCTATGAAGTAAGAGGCTTTTATGGTGGGTGGAGATGTAGGATTGGGTTCCTGGTAGCACGGCAGGCAGTGACCACTGACCGATGGGTTGGGCTGGACACCGACACGACTGGCTAGGGCGAGGCTCTGGGAGAATGGAACCATGGGAAAGTTCAGCTTTGAGGGGATGTGCGGAGTTGGACCCTTGTTTTTGGATGGGAAGGTCAGGGATTGTGCATATGGAGAGGGCACATGGGGCTGGGTGGTTTGGGTGAGTGATGGAGGGTAGGGACTTTGGGGAAGAAGTGATAAAGAGACGCGCCCTCGGGTTCTTGAGCTGGGTGGTTCTCGTCTCGTTCTTCTGTTTCACTGGTGCGGTTCCTGCTTTCCAAGCCGCCAGCGAATCTCATAGCTACCACATCTCTATTCGGCACGGCATAGAAGACTCCAAGGACAACAACCGCCAACATGCTCGTCGGACAGACTACCGTTCGCGCCCTCCTCAGCGGCATTGCCATGAACCACCTCGAGATGGTCCCCGAGACGTCTCCCAACCCGGGCGGTCTCAGATTCTTGAGGTTGACCAGACAGACCGGCACATGCAGATCAGGAGAGAAGTGGTGTTTGGATGGGTGCATTCCGCTCAGCGGTGTCTGCTGCATATCACGAGGCACATATTGCGATGCTGGTTACTACTGCATGGCTGTTTCTGGGTGCTGCCGGGTATGTTGACTTTTTATTGTACAATGACTTACGAAGTGATACTGACGAAGACCATAGGAGGGACGAACATGCAGCGGCGTCGGTGGGACTTGCGATCCGGGGGAAGTGATGTGCAATAGGGGGTATGTTCTTATCTTTATCTCACACTTGATATGTTTATTTAACCTTTCTTCAACAGATGCATGCCCTCTAGTGGTGTCTGCTGCCCAGGCGGAGGCTATTGCGATGCCGGTTACGAATGCACAACAACCAACACATGCCGACGCGCTGGCAGTGGTGGTGGAGGAAGCAGTGGTGGCGGTTCTAGCGGAGGGAGCACCACAACCTGCGGTGCTGGACGCAAGAGATGTGACACTGGCTACTGCATCCCTGAAGATGGGACGTGCTGCAACAGAGGAACTGGACGTTACTGCGAGGTACGTATGCTCTCTTCTAACCCCTATCCAGTTTCCAGTTGGTCGAACGTTTAACTAAGTCCTTGATGTCAGGATGGCTACTACTGCCTCACAGGAAGTGGCTGCTGCAGAGACGGAAGAACGTGCCGACCAAACACGTCTCTCACAGAGGACCCTATCACGTTCACCACGCCCACTACCACGTCGACTCCAAGGGCTCTTCCAACCCCCGATGGCGAAGACGATGTTGACAGCGGAGCACCGGAGCCAACTGCTAGTTTTGGTGGAATTGATGACCTGATCGATGCCACCACAACCACCACCACAAGCCCAACAGCCACAGGGACTCTTCCGATCCCGCCTGCCATCACCAACGCTCTTCCCGGAGGCGGGAATGGTAACGATAATGTTAATGGTAATGGAGGAACTGGCGCCGGTATCAGATCGGTGGAGGTACCCCTGGCAGGGTGCGTCATGGGTCTGATGGTAGGTGTGTTTGGTCTGCTGCTTTAAGCACATGCAACCCAACTCATTATTACCCTCAATGTTTATACGAGACGAAGACGGATAGATACCAGTTCATATCTTTCTTTCGTGCTTCAGGTAGCCTAATACTAGTAAAATAATTTTGCTCTGGCTTTGTCGGACAGCGCAGAGGACCACCCCCTTTCCACCCCTATTGTGATATCATAACAGACAAGAAGAGCAGCAATAATATAAGGGCTGCATCTGACTGCAAACAACATTGCAAGATATCCTCTGTGGCGCAATTGGCTAGCGCGTCTGACTGTTAATCAGGAGGTTGGAAGTTCGAGCCTTCCCGGAGGAGTTCTGATATCTTTTTCTCTGGCTCTACCTGACAATATGAAGATTGAAGTTATTTGGTGGGGAAACCATAACTTTTTGGCTGTTGGTGGTCAGTTTTTTTGCAGATGGTGCGGATTCTGTCTGCTCTGCTCAAAGTGAGGCTATTCCCAGCACCATACCTCTCAACTTTTTCTTGGCTTTCCAATGTTGACCCAAGCGGGTTTTTAACTGCGGGTATCCTTGTTTGAAACTCGCAAGCAGATGAGATTGGAATGAAGTGACTTAATCCAGGATAATGAATGGTCATATACAGGCTGTCAAAAAAAAGATGAAATGCATCTTTCCATGTCAAATTGAAGTAGTCCTGCATCTTGATTCTTGAGTCTGTTGAAGAAAGAACGATCGAATGCAGAGAAGTGGAGCCCACATGGAGTGGGACCGTCTGTCGCAGAAAAGAAGAGAACGGAACGAACGCACCTTGTCTTTCGCAAAGGAGGAAGGAACAAGTGCATGATCACAAAACTTTATGAGAAAGGGGGCAAAACGCCAAAAACAAACATCGCCAGCACACACTGCAAAAGATGTTGGCGAACTCCGGTACGGGGAATCGAACCCCGAGCTTCGCGGTGAAAACGCGATATGTTAACCGTTACACTATACCGGATTCAGCGGTGAATCGCTTGTTGTTGATGAGAGCGTGGGAATCATGCCACATGTATTCCCCCTCACGAAACGAAGCCAAAGTCAAAAGCACAGGAGAGAGGTGCCAGGGTCTTGTTTCAAATATATCTTCTCGTAAGGTGGTGGTGGACTTTTCAAGACTACACAGCAAATTCGAGGGAGCTTCTTATGTAACTGTCCAATCTCAAGGCTCTGGGAAGAGAATGAAAACATACGTGCATCTACCAAACCATTGAAGATTCTATTTAAAAACTACAGTGACAGATATGCACCCTTCAGCGCTCACTCGTGGTCCGCAGACCTTTCGGTCAATGCATCACCAAGGTGCTCAAGGGGAGACACGACAACCTTCCTGAATCTGCTGCATTTTGCTCCCTCGAAAGTATTGACACTTCCAAAGCCTTCTCCCCACGTTAGATTTGGACCTATCTCGTCTGTATCTAGACAGGTCAAACACGCAGCCACAATTTGAGCGTACCTTTCCCCCATATACACTGGTAGCTCCCTCCTCGCAATCTCCACTAGGTTCTGGTTGACGACGACTGCCTTCGTAGTTTTCTTCTTCTATGTTTATGCCGGCAGCTTTCCCCAGCGCACTCGGTTTCAACCTGCCATCTTTCAGCACCGAAAATGACCTCCACAGCCCAATCTCAAGGAGGCAAACGCCCATGCTGTAGATATCGTGGCCCATTTTGGCGGTTGCTTCGGTCCGACCGTGTTGTTCGGGGTGTCGATAGACATCTCTCGTCCAATCTTGAGGAAAGTTGCCGAGGGGACCGCCGTGGTGCACAACGTGTTGCCAATGAGTGAGATACAGACTGCCAAATCCGGGCGGTGCGTGGGCGTTTGATACCTCACAGCTGAGAGCGACCGAGTCCTTCTTGCTTGCCATCTTATCCTGTTCGTCACGAACCGAGTCAGGCAAGTCCTCCAAGCTGTCGTTTGACCGGGATCCCGGCCAGATAGCCCCTTTTCCCTTCACTTTCCGCGGTACGTTGCGTTTCCGTAAGCTTTGTTGACTGCTCTTCCGTGTAGCCGCCCTGTTACCCGCACCTCTGTCTCTGGACCTCCTATCCTCGATATCCTCTCTGTCCCTTTTTCTTGCACTGAAGCTCATTGTTCTTTTGATGGTTGTGCCAATTTCCTTGATACCCGTACCAACCCGGTTGATGCCTTGCTTCAAGGTGTTGCGTCTGGCAAGTCCCCCCCCCGGTGGTGCAGCTGCCTCGGGCGGCTCGGGCGGCGCCGGTACCTCTGAAACCCGCGTTCCGTCAGAGGTGAGAAACAGAATGGTGTCGCTGCGGATAGAACAGTGCGCAGCTAACCCATCGGAATGGACCTTGAGTACCGCTTTCGCGAGCTGGAGTGCCAGGGAGAACCGCGCCTCGAGGGACACTTTCTTGCTGTCGATCAGCTTCCTCAAGGTTTGTCGATCTTTCGAGTCCTTAGGAAGTAAATAGATCACCCTGTACCCATCAAAACCAATACAGGGCAGAACTCCCCGCAAAAAGTCCGTGTTCTCCAAGTTGTCGGACGTCCACCACAGTCTCGTGGCAACGTGTCTGGCGAGCGCTGTTGGCTTTGAAGAGCCTCTGTAGGTTCCCGCAAAGACTCGCACCGGATGATCGGAACGATAACTCGGGGGCAGCACCGCCATGGTGGAATACCCCCTTGGCCCCAAGTCTTGCTCTTCATGACCCTGGTGTAAAATAAGTTTGAATTCACGTCCGTGGTTGAGCGGCTTCAGCTTGAGAGTGTGCATGGCGAGATTGACGATGCTCTGTAGGTTGTCGATCCCACCATTTATGGTCTCAAATTCGTTCATGACTGTGGTTTCTAACCCAGTTGCCCACTGCACGCGCAGGATCGTCTTGTTTTTCTGTTGCGGATCCGGCACCAATCCAATAGCCTTATCGAGCTTGCTGTGGAGCTCTGTTATGGCGCTTCGAATAGTCGCTATGTCGTTACTGGCGAAGTTGTTTTGGTAGCTGTTCAAACCGCGACGCAAGAGTTTCAGCCTCATGGTTTCAAGTTGGCCGTCAAAAAGACGCATTGTGGCAGCCGCTTCTTCAGCCCCCGCGTAACTGTTGACAAAACTGCGAAGCCTTTCGGCCAGGCTGATAGAAGCGTCAATGGCCCCCAGAATGTCAGTCATGATAACGAAGGTTGGGCTGCTCCTGCGCGGTTGGTGTGTAAAGTGATCAACGGGCCAAAAGCTGAGCTGTTGGGAGACAAATCCTCAAGCGGCCGGAGTCCGGACATCTTATCAGCTCCCAGCAACCCAACAACAGAACCTCTAGGTGGGGAACAAGTGCCTTCCTTGTTGACGTGGCCGGGAGAAAAGAGAATAATGCATGCAAGGCTCTGACCAAAAATGCAGCCAACCCCCCTTTTGGTCACCACAACCAATCGCGGACACAGTCCAAATCTCTTGGTTGTACGATGGCTGCAGATTCAGTGTCTTGAACAACCGGTGATATCCATTTCTTCCTCTCGCGCCATTGACATACTGACATACACCACAACCTCAAGGGTCCCAAAAGGTAGCAACGCGGAACTTGGCGCTGACCAGTGACCTCAGCCTATCGCGGCTACAGTTATCTGAATAGATTGCTCAATGAGTTGACACAAGTGGTTGTAGTTGAGGAAACATGGAAAAGACGAAAGGAAAGGAAAGGCAAGGCAGCCAGTTGCTGTGAAATTCACATATGTTGAGGTTGGCCATATTGGCCTAAGACAGAGCTATTCAAAAGAGTGTACGTACCGCACCCACAAATATCCTTCATTTTTGGACGAGATTTGATTCTTGAAAATTAACACCTCATCAAAACTTTCTCGCACAAAGTCTGCCTTGTCGCCGCACTGTTGGTTGGTGTAACATGAAAGGGGTGACCGTGAACCGGCTTTCATGGGTCCCTCAGTGTCCGGTTGTAGCACAAGATTTCCCAGTCTGCCTCGAGTAGACGAACCCCAAAATTCTATGGCTTGCTGCTGCTTTGGGAATAATTTTAGCGTGAAAGAAGGCGAAAGCAGGCCAATCAAAAGCCGTTCCGTGCCCCCGGCCTCGACGTCGCCGGCGCCGGACCCTCTGCAACGCCAACAAGGCCGGAGAGACGGGAAGTGAAAAGAAATTAAATGGCTAATTTCCAGTATCATCAGAGAAAGGAGGAGACTTGAAACCTAGCAAGTACATATCTCATACTCAGCGGGGGGGACTATTGGGCATAGTGTCTCCAGTGAGCAATGTTAATTCCTACTCTTCCACAGATATCCTCACAGCAACTAACCTCCTCAAACACTACATCGCACTTCTTCCACCCAACGTCACTCCTCCTCCTCCTCCTCCACCACCTCCACCCCCTGAAACCTCTCCCCAGCAAACCACTCCACCGCAAACCAAAACTCTTCCAAACCCCCCTCAAACCCCTCCTTCAGCGCCTGCACCACACTCCTCTCCCCCTCCTCCCTCAACTCCTGATCATCCACAAACCCCAACCCCTCCGCAATAAGCACCCACGCGGCCGGCGAAGGCGGGTACCCAACCTCCACAACCTCAGACCACAAATCCCAACAGTCCACCTCCCGCCCAAACACCGTCACAGTCTCGCTCGGTTCAGGTAGTTCATTAAACTCACTAAACATACGCCTTAACTCCAACCAGGACTCCCTCGAGGTTATCAACCCATTCATGTTCTTCCGTGATCGAATCCTAGCTTGCTCGAGCTCTTTCTGCTGCGCAGGCGTCGGAGCCTGCGGTGTTTCCGCTACTGCGGCAGACACCTGAGTTGAAAAGGCAGGGCTGTCGATATTGGGGGCAGAGACTTGCGTTAGGAACCCAGAAGAGGTCTCATTTGTCGCCGGCGGTAGTGGTGTACTGCTAGAAGCACCCGCTGTTCTCTCGGATTGCCCGCCTTGAGTAGGTTTTAGCGGGGTAGACGCCCCTTTCCGTGCCTTTTCCGCTCGAATCCGCTTCAGCTTTCGTTTCAGCTCCTCTTTCTGGCTGCCTGATGGCAATGGTGGCGACGATGCCGCACTGGCAGCTCGGGGTTGTTTCTCCCGCTCTTCCACACAGCTTGAGGCCTGGGCCTGGCCTGCTGTACTCGTTTGGCTGGTTGACTTGGCTTGTTTTGCAGCTTTGGCCTCCGCCATCTTTCTCTTTTTTTCCCGGAGTGCCTCATATTTTTCCTTGTCTTTCTGGCTCAATTCCAGTTGCGTCGTGGGCGGTGCCGTGGGCGTGCGGGACGGAACAGTATCACTGGCGGTAGACTTCCGCGGTCGCTTTGCTGGCGGCAGCTCATCGCCGGAGCCAGAATCCCTTCGTTTCGACAAGGTCTTGACGTATCGATTCCGCCACGACTGCCAGGTATGATGTGGGTACTGTTCTTCCAGCTCTTTGTATGCATTCTGCCCAGACTCTGACCCTTGCCACCTATCCAGATGCTGAAGCAGAATCTCATCATCTTGCTTTGTGAATTCCCTCCTCTTAGCCGACTTCTTTCCGACAGTCGACGATGCAGTCGATGGCGGTGCAGCTCGTGCATCACTTGACGATTTAGACTTGACTAGCGTCGGGATGGGAGGCGGAAGCGGGTGGACAGACTGTTGTGGTGGGAGGTGTAAAAGTTTCTCAACGTATCGTGACCGCCAGGACTGGTAAGTGTGGTGAGGGTACTAGAAACGGATAGTCAGAAACACCCGCTATTTGTGGTCAACGAGCCGTCGTACCTTTGCAGCCAGTTCTCGATAGATGGCATTGCCCTTGATGCTCTCCCCGGCCTCTTCCTTCTGCCTGATCCAGCTCAGGAGCATCTGATCATCTTTCGGTGTGAAGGGGGTTTTCGTACCCTTCTTGACGGGAGCAGAAGAGCCGACTGGAGTCGCAGTTGGAACAGCAACAAGATACTCCTCCTTGTTGACAATTTCCCCCTTGGAAACGCAATCCTCGACAAATTTGGAAGAGACAGCACCAGCCGGAGCACCACGTGTAATGAGATAGTCCCAGATCAGCACATCGGCAAACTTCTCCATTTCTACGATTTTGCCGCCATTGTTCTGTGTCATCTGTTAGTCTTTGTCAACCACAGCTGGTGGTGGAAACATCTACCTTGATCTTTCCAAGAACCTCACTGCGAAGAGGCAACCGCCTGGATACGAAGAACTTGAGACCATTGAACAGAGTACCCTCGTAACATCCATTGACCCCCTCGTAGACAATTGGTTGTGGCATGGCAGCGGGGTGGCGGCTAACCCTAACCCTTCAGGGTTGTCGCTTACGAGACTGTGGTGCGCGATGCAGCTATGCAATTGGAGGGGCCGCTGATCGCTCAGAGCACCATGGGAGATCCCCTATTCCACTGTATATGATGGCCGAAGTGGTGTAGCAGAGTCGAACAAGCAGTCTTGAGGGTGAGGAGTTGCGAGCAGTTGGTCGTCGTCAAAGACCCGATGTGGAAGTGACCAGGGTTAATTGTGGCGCCGAGCGATTCGCAAGCCAAGTGTCTGCGCTTTCTGTCCCTCGGCTTGAATATTATTGACACTGCTTCGGTTGTAGAGAAATGGGTGATCAGTTGCAAGTAATCCAGTAGAATCACGTCGCCAAAAAGCTGTCGATGGTTGGGTTATTGAACGAAGTTGCTTTTTTTCCGTTTATTCATGCTATCTGTCGGCACGCGTCAAGTTGGGGTGTCGCGCAATCACGAGACGTTGGAAGTGGGGGTGTCAAAAGGTCAAAGAAAAACGGGGCTTCTTGAACAAGCTGGGTTTCTTAGGATTGCTGATGTAAGCACCGCTTCTTGTGCCTACAGCTCATTGAGGCCTCGTTTTCAACTCGTTCTCACGACTCGAACCGGTGGACTTGAGAATGAGAACGGAAAATAAGAATCGCGGCTTTGTCTTGACATCTTATATATATATATATATACATATATATATTATCGTGCTCTTATTCCTTTAAACTTTTTCGAGATTCCTCTTTGCGCCGCCAAGTTCAGCTCCACACAACGCCGCTCGCTCACTCATCCGTAAGGGACACAACCAACGTCCGCCGTTTGAAGCTGACCACCATGGGTTGTATTCCATCCACATAACACCCAAAAATGCAATAAAGTCTCCTGTTTCATTATTCATTAATAATAATCAAGAGGGGTGCTCAACTCGGCGTCAAAATGGGCGTCATCGCAACGGTGGCTACTGTGGTGTTGGCCATCTCATTCATGGTCTTTGTCACCTTTTTTGGCCGACTACCAGCACTCAGGTAAGACACCCCAGACTGTTGACCAAGTACCATCTCTAATACATACCCCAGAGGCACACCAATATCATGGCTTCACAAAGTAATATGGGTCCACTTCCCGAACGTCCTCAAATCCATCGACCGCCGTGTCACCGGCGGCCGAATCTCCCCAGCTTGTGTCCGCTTCGGGAATTACATGATGTACGACCGACATCCATCCGTCCTGGTACGCCCCCCCCTTTTCACCCCTCTTGTGCTGGTTTCTCACTAACCCCCCGCAGATATTCTTCCTCCTCCTCCTCTCCATAGGCGAAATCCTCTACCTCCCCACCGCCTGGCCTCAACTCACCCCCCTCGTCAAACTCACCGGCACCATCTCCATCATCCTCCCTTACCTCTTCCTCTACCTCGCCGCCTTCACCGACCCAGGGTACATCACCCCCGCCAACCACCCCCAGGAGATGTCCCGCTACCCCTACGACTTCACCCTCTTCCACCCAGGCAACGAATGCCACACCTGCCACCTCCTCAAACCAGCCCGAAGCAAGCACTGCTCCGTCTGCAAGCGCTGCATAGCCAAAAACGACCACCACTGCATCTTCATCAACAACTGCGTCGGGGCCAACAACCAGCACTGGTTCATCTTGCTTCTTCTCTCCACAGCCGTGCTGACGGCGTACGGCGGTATTCTGGGCGTCTATCTCATGGCCAAAAGAATGAACTTTTTCTTTCCCTACTGGGCGTTGTTGCCTTGGAACGCCAATAAAGGGGAGGGCATGCCGCTGAAAGACTGGCTCGTCATATGGTCGTGGGGTTTCCAGAACCAGGTCGGCATGGGGGCGGTTACCTTGCTGGCGGGGCTGACGTCACCGTTGGTTTGGGGACTGTTGGGGTATCACGCCTGGCTTGTCTATTGCGGGACGACCACGAACGAGAGTATGAAGTGGAGCGATTGGAGTTATGAGATGAGGGAGGGGTTTGCGTACAAGAGGAAGATGCACGGGCAGAGGCAGAAGGACCTGAAGGTCGAGCCGGCGTGGACGAGGTGGCCGGCGGAGACGGAGCAGATTTTGGTCAGGACCGAGAGCGGGCAGTGTCCGGCGGAGGATGACCAGACGCTGCCCGGGTATGGGCCGTGGGAGGCGGTTTGGGGGTTGAAGGATGTGGAGAATTTGTATGACATCGGGTTTTGGGATAATTTGGTGGATGTGTTGATGCCGGGGTACAATTTTCGCGATGAGCCGAGTGGGAAGAGACAGAGGGGTGGGCTGAGGCAGAGGAAGAAGAGGAGGGCGAGGAGGATATACTTGGCTTGAGACGGGCTGGTGGTGGTTTGCATAGCGCCGGTTGAGTAGCTAAGCTCCTGGGGGTTAAAATTTCTTGATCCAAAATTCCCTGGGTATCAAATCTACATCTATCCCAAACTCTCTTGCACACACCCACATATGATAATACTACAGTACATAATAAATACACCCTCAAAACGACGGATGAAGCCTCTTCTTCGGCCTCGCCTTCTCCCTCTCCATCAGCGCCTCAATATCATCAAACGAAACAATCTCGGGCTCCTCCTGCTCCACCTCCACCACCTCCTTCTTCCCCTTTCCGACCGCGACATCCAACCCCGGCACCACAATCTTCCTCTTATCCTCCACCAATCCAGCCAACCTGCAAATCGCCCACCTAGCCGTCTCAACGCCCAACCCCCCATTCCTCGGATCGCCCGCCCCCGTAACCCAAACCTCCCTCTCCCACCCCTTGTCTCCTCCCTCCAACCAAGTCAAACTCCTCCTCTCCGCTCTCCTCAGTTCCTTCCAAACCCCCACCAAAACCTCCCCTATCCTCTCCTCCGCCCCCCCTTTTCCCTCCCCATTTTGTTTCCTCTGCTCCACCACCGCCGCATCAACAACCTTATCCCCCTTGGTGAGCACAACCACAGTCCTAACATCATGATCCCTCAAGTTCCCCAACACCATCCTATCCTGCTCTTTAACCCCGGTCTCGGCATCAATCAGCACCACCGCCCCCTTGAGCATCTGCATTTACGCCAAATATTTCTGAATCTCCACCCCCCAGTCCTTTTTGGACCCCAAGCCATAACCAGGCATGTAAACCATTATAAGGGCGTATCTCCTCGGCTTCTCCCGTTGCATATACTCCTTTTGCGCCTCCCTCCTCGCTTGTAGTGTCGCTCCCTTCAAAACGGCTTCTATTTTGGCTTTGATCTCTTCAAGCGCGGAAGGGGGTTCGGGGGGTGGGGTGCAAAAACCGTAGCCGTTGAGGGTGAATGTAAAGCATGCTTTAAGGGAGGTTATAGCGCTTATTTGTTTTCGCGCAACAACTCAATGGATGTAACGGGCGGATGCGCCGAGAAGGCAAGAAAGGGCGTTGATTAGAGTTGATTTTACGACGTTGGAGCGGCCGATGAGGCAGATTTAAGGGGTGTGGGTGTTGAATGGAAATTAGAGGAATATGCCAGCGGAATAGAGGAATTT